TGTCAGCAACACAACAACAACAACAGTCTGGGTGTCAGCAACACAACAACAACAACAGTCTGGGTGTCAGCAACACAACAACAACAACAGTCTGGGTGTCAGCAACACAACAACAACAACAACAACAGTCTGGGTGTCAGCAACACAACAACAATAGTCTGGGTGTCAGCAACATAACAACAATAGTCTGGGTGTCAGCAACACAACAACAACAGTCTGGGTGTCAGCAACACAACAACAATAGTCTGGGTGTCAGCAACATAACAACAATAGTCTGGGTGTCAGCAACACAACAACAATAGTCTGGAGTGTCAGCAACACAACAACAATAGTCAGGGTGTCAGCAACACAACAACAATAGTCTGGGTGTCAGCAACACAACAACAATAGTCTGGGTGTCAGCAACACAACAACAATAGTCTGGGTGTCAGCAACACAACAACAATAGTCTGGGTGTCAGCAACACAACAACAACAGTCTGGGTGTCAGCAACACAACAACAATAGTCTGGGTGTCAGCAACACAACAACAATAGTCTGGGTGTCAGCAACACAACAACAATAGTCTGGGTGTCAGCAACACAACAACAACAGTCTGGGTGTCAGCAACACAACAACAACAGTCTGGGTGTCAGCAACACAACAACAATAGTCTGGGTGTCAGCAACACAACAACAATAGTCTGGGTGTCAGCAACACAACAACAACAGTCTGGGTGTCAGCAACACAACAACAATAGTCTGGGTGTCAGCAACACAACAACAATAGTCTGGGTGTCAGCAACACAACAACAACAGTCTGGGTGTCAGCAACATAACAACAATAGTCTGGGTGTCAGCAACACAACAACAACAACAACAGTCTGGGTGTCAGTAACACAACAACAATAGTCTGGGTGTCAGCAACACAACAACAATAGTCTGGGTGTCAGCAACACAACAACAATAGTCTGGGTGTCAGCAACACAACAACAACAACAACAGTCTGGGTGTCAGTAACACAACAACAATAGTCTGGGTGTCAGCAACATAACAACAACAGTCTGGGTGTCAGCAACACAACAACAACAACAGTCTGGGTGTCAGTAACACAACAACAACAACAGTCTGGGTGTCAGCAACACAACAACAACAACAACAGTCTGGGTGTCAGCAACACAACAACAACAGTCTGGGTGTCAGCAACACAGCAACAACAGTCTGGGTGTCAGCAACACAACAACAATAGTCTGGGTGTCAGCAACACAACAACAATAGTCTGGGTGTCAGCAACACAACAACAATAGTCTGGGTGTCAGCAACACAACAACAACAACAGTCTGGGTGTCAGCAACACAACAACAACAATAGTCTGGGTGTCAGCAACACAACAACAACAACAGTCTGGGTGTCAGCAACACAACAACAACAACAACAACAGTCTGGGTGTCAGTAACACAACAACAATAGTCTGGGTGTCAGCAACACAACAACAATAGTCTGGGTGTCAGCAACACAACAACAACAGTCTGGGTGTCAGCAACACAACAACAATAGTCTGGGTGTCAGCAACACAACAACAACAGTCTGGGTGTCAGCAACACAACAACAATAGTCTGGGTGTCAGCAACACAACAACAACAACAGTCTGGGTGTCAGCAACACAACAACAACAACAACAGTCTGGGTGTCAGTAACACAACAACAACAGTCTGGGTGTCAGCAACACAACAACAACAGTCTGGGTGTCAACAACACAACAACAACAGTCTGGGTGTCAGCAACACAACAACAACAGTCTGGGTGTCAGCAACACAACAACAACAGTCTGGGTGTCAGCAACACAACAACAATAGTCTGGGTGTCAGCAACATAACAACAATAGTCTGGGTGTCAGTAACACAACAACAATAGTCTGGGTGTCAGCAACACAACAACAGTCTGGGTGTCAGCAACACAACAACAATAGTCTGGGTGTCAGCAACACAACAACAATAGTCTGGGTGTCAGCAACACAACAACAACAACAGTCTGGGTGTCAGCAACACAACAACAACAATAGTCTGGGTGTCAGCAACACAACAACAACAGTCTGGGTGTCAGCAACACAACAACAATAGTCTGGGTGTCAGCAACACAACAACAACAACAGTCTGGGTGTCAGTAACACAACAACAACAATAGTCTGGGTGTCAGCAACACAACAACAACAACAGTCTGGGTGTCAGCAACACAACAACAACAACAGTCTGGGTGTCAGCAACACAACAACAATAGTCTGGGTGTCAACAACACAACAACAATAGTCTGGGTGTCAGTAACACAACAACAACAATAGTCTGGGTGTCAGCAACACAACAACAACAGTCTGGGTGTCAGCAACACAACAACAATAGTCTGGGTGTCAGCAACACAACAACAATAGTCTGGGTGTCAGCAACACAACAACAATAGTCTGGGTGTCAGCAACACAACAACAATAGTCTGGGTGTCAGCAACACAACAACAATAGTCTGGGTGTCAGCAACACAACAATAGTCTGGGTGTCAGCAACACAACAATAGTCTGGGTGTCACAATATCACACAAACAAAGCAGACAACACTCACCTAGTTTGCAACACTTGCAAGTCTTACAGGAGCTGCTGGTGTAAGTTTTGTACACAGATGAACACTTCTTCTCTGGGCTGACACACTGGCCGCCGTACCTCTTGCACGCCTTCACAGTCTTCTTGCACCGGTTGTCCAGTGCCTGTCCTTCCCCGGAGCCTCCAGTCTTACGGCCTCTGCCCTTCTTACTCTTCCTGGAGGCTCCAGTCTTGTGGCCTCTGCCCTTCTTACTCTTCCTGGAGGCTCCAGTCTTACGGCCTCTGCCCTTCTTGCTCTTCCTGGAGGCTCCAGTCTTGTGGCCTCTGCCCTTCTTACTCTTCCTGGAGGCTCCAGTCTTGTGGCCTCTGCCCTTCTTACTCTTCCTGGAGGCTCCAGTCTTACGGCCTCTGCCTTTCTTACTCTTCCTGGAGGCTCCAGTCTTGTGGCCTCTGTCTTTCTTATCCTTCCTGGAGGCTCCAGTCTTGTGGCCTCTGTCTTTCTTACCCTTCCTGGAGGCTCCAGTCTCACGACCTCTGGCCTTCTTACTCTTCCTGGAGGCTCCAGTCTTTTGTCTTCTGTCCTTCTTACTCTTCCTGGAGGCTCCAGTTTTGTGGCCTCTGCCCTTCTTACTCTTCCTGGAGGCTACAGTCTTGTGGCCTCTGTCCTTCTTACTCTTCCTGGAGGCTCCAGTCTTACGGCCTCTGCCCTTCTTACTCTTCCTGGAGGCTCCAGTCTTGTGGCCTCTGTCCTTCTTACTCTTCCTGGAGGCTCCAGTCTTACGGCCTCTGCCCTTCTTACTCTTCCTGGAGGCTCCAGTCTTACGGCCTCTGCCCTTCTTACTCTTCCTGGAGGCTCCAGTCTTGTGGCCTCTGTCTTTCTTATCCTTCCTGGAGGCTCCAGTCTTGTGGCCTCTGTCTTTCTTACCCTTCCTGGAGGCTCCAGTCTCACGACCTCTGGCCTTCTTACTCTTCCTGGAGGCTCCAGTCTTTTGTCTTCTGTCCTTCTTACTCTTCCTGGAGGCTCCAGTTTTGTGGCCTCTGCCCTTCTTACCCTTCCTGGAGGCTCCAGTCTTTTGGCCTCTGACCTTCTTACTCTTCCTGGAGGCTCCAGTCTTGTGGCCTTTGACCTTCTTACTCTTCCTGGAGGCTCCAGTCTTGTGGCCTCTGACCTTCTTACTCTTCCTGGAGGCTCCAGTCTTGTGGCCTTTGACCTTCTTACTCTTCCTGGAGGCTCCAGTCTTGTGGCCTCTGACCTTCTTACTCTTCCTGGAGGCTCCAGTCCTTTGTCTTCTGTCCTTCTTACTCTTCCTGGAGGCTCCAGTCTTTTGGCCTCTGACCTTCTTACTCTTCCTGGAGGCTCCAGTCTTGTGGCCTCTGACCTTCTTACTCTTCCTGGAGGCTCCAGTCTTGTGGCCTCTGACCTTCTTACTCTTCCTGGAGGCTCCAGTCTTTTGGCCTCTGACCTTCTTACTCTTCCTGGAGGCTCCAGTCTTGTGGCCTTTGACCTTTTTACTCTTCCTGGAGGCTACAGTCTTGTGGCCTCTGACCTTCTTACTCTTCCTGAAGGCTCCAGTCTTGTTGCCTCTCACCTTCTTACTCTTCCTGGAGGCTCCAGTCTTGTGGCCTCTGACCTTCTTTCTCTTCCTGGAGGCTACAGTCTTGTGGCCTCTGACCTTCTTACTCTTCCTGGAGGCTCCAGTCTTGTGGCCTCTGTCCTTTTTACTCTTCCTGGAGGCTCCAGTCTTTTGGCTTCTGACCTTCTTACTCTTCCTGGAGGCTCCAGTCTTGTTGCCTCTCACCTTCTTACTCTTCCTGGAGGCTCCAGTCTTGTGGCCTCTGACCTTCTTTCTCTTCCTGGAGGCTACAGTCTTGTGGCCTCTGACCTTCTTACTCTTCCTGGAGGCTCCAGTCTTGTGGCCTCTGTCCTTTTTACTCTTCCTGGAGGCTCCAGTCTTGTTGCCTCTGATCTTCTTACTCTTCCTGGAGGCTCCAGTCTTGTTGCCTCTGACCTTCTTACTCTTCCTGGAGGCTCCAGTCTTGTGGCCTCTGACCTTCTTACTCTTCCTGGAGGCTACAGTCTTGTGGCCTCTGACCTTCTTACTCTTCCTGGAGGCTCCAGTCTTGTTGCCTCTGACCTTCTTACTCTTCCTGGAGGCTCCAGTCTTGTGGCTTCTGACCTTCTTACTCTTCCTGGAGGCTCCAGTCTTGTGGCTCCTGACCTTCTTACTCTTCCTGGAGGCTCCAGTCTTGTGGCCTCTGACCTTCTTACTCTTCCTGGAGGCTCCAGTCTTTTGGCCTCTGACGTTCTTACTCTTCCTGGAGGCTCCAGTCTTGTGGCCTCTGACCTTCTTACTCTTCCTGGAGGCTCCAGTCTTGTGGCCTCTGACCTTCTTACTCTTCCTGGAGGCTCCAGTCTTGTGGCCTCTGACCTTCTTACTCTTACTCTTCTTTGTATTACTCGTCTTTTTCTTCTTAGTCAATGTATTTGCTATAGTATTCCTGTTACTCATATTTCCGTTAAAAATCCTTTTCTTTATATTGAACGTGCTCTCTTTCGAGTTTGTTTTCATTTTCTTCCTCGAGGATGAACTCATTTTTCTCTCAGGTTTTTGCTTCTCTGTCTTAATTTTCTTGATTTTTCTCATCTTCGGTTCGCCTGTATTTGTTTTCCTCCTGTGTTTATTGTTGTTCTTTCCTCTGTGCTTCTTATTTCCTCCTCCAGTTCTCGTGTTCTTCATCATTTTTATGTAATCCTTTATCTTTCTCTCTCGTTCGGGTTTGCCTATTTCTTCGTCATTTTTCCTTTTTCCTTGCGCTTTATCTATCTCTTTTCCTTTTCGGTTTGTGTTGGCTGTTATTGTCTTGTTTCTTGTGTTATTGTCTGTTCCCTTTCTTTTTTCCCGTTTTCTTCCACTTTTCCAGTTGTCTTTTCCGTTAGAGTTCTTTTCTTTTCCTTGTGGTTTCCGTGTTCTCTTGCTGCCAGGCCCAGTTGGTCCATTGTTCTTGTCGCTGTCTTTATTAAGGTCATTCTTTCCCATTCTCGTAAGGGTCTTCTTGCCTCTTTCTCTTCGTTGTTTTGTTTTTGTCTTTTTGTCGTTTCTTGAGATTTTTGACGTGTTCTGTTCCTTCTCGTCACCTCCATCACGACCCTTGTTGTTGTGTTCCTCTACCATCTGTTTCCTCCTCGTGTTCTCATCTCTCTCTTTACTCTTTATTGCGGCCTTTTCTTCTCTCTTGTTTCTCTTCTTATCACTACTTTTATTCATTAATATTTTCTGGCTGCCATCGTCGCCAGCAGGTCCATTCTTACTCTCTCTCGTTATCCTTCCTGTTCTTGGAGGCTCAGATGACTCCAGACCTGTCGTCGGACGCTCAAGCGATTCCAGATCTGTTCTTGGGGGCTCAGGCGACCCCACATCTGTGGTATAAACAGGGAAGTGTGTAGTTTACATTTTATACAGAAACGAAACCAAGTACAAATTTGTTCATAAGAGAAAGTAATGATTTTTGTAATAAATGTTTTTTTTATTAAGCATGATCGTTATTACCTTTTTTATTAATTGTATTATATTATGAAACATCCGCATACCTATCACCCTAGCAACTCAGTATAGTGGTACAAACCCATGCCCAGTCACCTAGCAAGTCAGTATTGTGGTACACACCCATGCCCAGTCACCTACCAAGTCAGTATTGTGGTACACACCCATGTCCAGTCAACTAGCAAGTCAGTATTGTGGTACAAACCCATGCCCAGTCACCTAGCAAGTCAGTATTGTGGTACACACCCATGCCCAGTCACCTACCAAGTCAGTATTGTGGTACACACCCATGCCCAGTCAACTAGCAAGTCAGTATTGTGGTACACACCCATGCCCAGTCAACTAGCAAGTCAGTATTGTGGTACAAACCCATGCCCAGTCACCTAGCAAGTCAGTATAGTGGTACAAACCCATGCCCAGTCACCTAGCAACTCAGTATAGTGGTACAAACCCATGCCCAGTCACCTAGCAAGTCAGTATTGTGGTACAAACCCATGCCCAGTCACCTAGCAAGTCAGTATTGTGGTACACACCCATGCCCAGTCACCTAGCAAGTCAGTATTGTGGTACACACCCATGCCCAGTCACCTAGCAAGTCAGTATTGTGGTACACACCCATGCCCAGTCACCTAGCAAGTCAGTATTGTGGTACAAACCCATGCCCAGTCACCTAGCAAGTCAGTATTGTGGTACACACCCATGCCCAGTCACCTAGCAAGTCAGTATTGTGGTACACACCCATGCCCAGTCACCTAGCAAGTCAGTATTGTGGTACACACCCATGCCCAGTCACCTAGCAAGTCAGTATTGTGGTACACACCCATGCCCAGTCACCTAGCAAGTCAGTATTGTGGTACACACCCATGCCCAGTCACCTAGCAAGTCAGTATTGTGGTACACACCCATGCCCAGTCACCTAGCAAGTCAGTATTGTGGTACACACCCATGCCCAGTCACCTAGCAAGTCAGTATTGTGGTACACACCCATGCCCAGTCACCTAGCAAGTCAGTATTGTGGTACACACCCATGCCCAGTCACCTAGCAAGTCAGTATTGTGGTACACACCCATGCCCAGTCAACTAGCAAGTCAGTATTGTGGTACACACCCATGCCCAGTCAACTAGCAAGTCAGTATTGTGGTACACACCCATGCCCAGTCAACTAGCAAGTCAGTATTGTGGTACACACCCATGCCCAGTCAACTAGCAAGTCAGTATTGAGGTACACACCCATGCCCAGTCACCTAGCAAGTCAATATTATGGTACACAGCCATGCCCAGCCCGCCCAGCAAGTCAGTATTGTGATACACACCCATGCCCAGTCACCTAGCAAGTCAGTATTGTGGTACACACCCATGCCCAGTCACCTAGCAAGTCAGTATTGTGGTACACACCCATGCCTAGCCCCCTAGCAAGTCAATATTATGGTACACAGCCATGCCCAGCCCACCTAGCAAGTCAGTAGTGTGGTACACACCCATGCTCAGTCACCTAACAAGTCAGTATTGTGGTACACATCTGTCACGTGGAAAGACAAAACGAGAGAGCCTCGTCGAGCTCCACCGGTGACACTCCGTTACTGCTCTCTTTACAGTATCCTTGTTGTTGGCTCTGTACTCACTTTCCTTTGTGATGAAGTCGGCGCTTAACCCCTGAGTACACCAGTACTAAAACCCAGGGCCCTCGCAGCTCTCCTGGGAACTCGCTAGGCTACTTTCTACCCCCAGAGAGCGGGGGGCAGAGTGGCAGGTGTCTCCCGCATACACCTGGTTTTTCAGCTATTCCTGTGGTTATTGGGGTTCTCAACTGCGCCCAGCGCGGAAGAAATTATCTCAATACTCCCTTATAGACCTGTTGAGCATGAGTCTATGTTCCTGGATTTCATTTAATCTTTATTCCTGTACTCAAGTGGCTAGTACCCTACTGTCCGGCTAACACACACACACAAACACACACACGCATACACACACACACACACACACACACACACACACACACACACACACACACACACACACACACACACACACACACACACACACACGCGCGCGCGCACACGCACACGCACACGCACACGCACACGCACACGCACACGCACACGCACACACACACACACACACACACTCTGGAAAAAATAATTAAAACTAAATGGGTAGAATACCTTGAGAAAACCGATATAATATCAGACAGTATGGTTTTCGATCTGGAAGATCCTGTGTAACGAACTTACTCAGTTTTTATAATCGAGCCACAGAAATTTTACAGGAAAGAGATGGTTGGGTTGACTGCATCTATCTGGATCTAAAAAAGGCTTTCGACAGAGTTCCCCATAAGAGGTTGTTCTGGGAACTGGAACATATGAGAGAGGTGACAGGTAAGCTTCTAACATGGATGAAAAATTTCCTGACAGAAAAATGAGGGCCGTAATCAGAGGCAAGGTATCGGATTGGAGGAATGTCACGATTGGAGTATCACAGGGTTTAGTTCTTGCACCGGTAATGTTCATTGTCTACATAAACGATCTACCAGTGGGGATACAGAATTCAAATTACATGAACAACGGAATGAACGGAATACAAATTATATGAACATGTTTGCCTCATTCCTTCTTAACTTAAATTACAGCTTGGGCCGTCTGTGATCTTTCTAGGTGGGTAAAAATGACTCTTGAGACTGGAAGTATTGAAGTATTCAGGACTGTTATTAGACGGTGATCATAACACACCCATGCACAACCCCCATGCAATCCTGTACTGGTGTTCACACCCATGCTGCTCAGTCACCTAGCAAGTCAGTATAGTGGTTCACATCCATGTCCAGCCTACTAGCAAGCCAATATTGTGATACATACTCATGCCCAGACACCTAGCAAGTCAGTATAGTGGTTCATATCCATGTCCAGCCTACTAGCAAGCCAATATTGTGATACATACTTATGCCCAGACAACTAGCAAGTCAGTATTGTGGTACACACTCATGCCCAGCCTCCTAGCAAGCCAGTATTGGTACACACCCATACCCAGTCACCTAACAAGTCAGTATAGTGGAACACACAATACTGTGCTCAAACCAACCCCCTAACAAGTAGGTATTGTGGTACACACCCATGCCCAGCCACCTAGCAAGTCATTATAGTGGAACACACTTTACTGTGTTCAGCCCAGCCCCTTAACAAATCAGTATTGTGGTACACATCCATGCCCAGTTACCTAGCAAGTCAGTATTGTGGTACACGCCCATGCCCAGCCCCCTAGCACTTCAGTATAGTGGTAAATACCAAAACCCAGCCACCAGCTAGGAACCATCTGGGTAAAGTTTAATTAACATTGCTTTGTGCTAGACTAAAAGTTTCCTCTGCTCGACATCCAATAAGAGCCCCTTCTGAACCTTCTGAACAGGATTTGTGCATAAGTACTCTCAATTTGTTTCTAGAATTCTGGTAATTAAATCATTAAGGGATTGGGTTAATTTCGGACACAGGTGAGGCTCAGCATAGGCTGTGTACAGCACAGACCGCATACCACAGCATAATACTGGGTTGGTGAGGAGCCTGCTACAAGTACGCTAACATAAATGCTTCAAACCTTAACGTAAAGGTAAATTATTGAACTGAATTAAGCTAATGGGAAACATTCACCCAGGCCTGATAAATTTAAGTGAGTTGAGAAAATGCAACCTCGGAATGGTTAAATTCCCACTAACTGCGCAGGTGGGAGTTGACAGAGAGGTGCATGTGTGCAGGAAACGGGGAGGGTTGGTGGTGGGGCTGTATGTTCAGAAGGTGGGGGTCTTACTGATGTTGGTGGTGGGGCTGTATGTTCAGAAGGTGGGGGTCTTACTGATGTTGGTGGTGGGGCTGTATGTTCAGAAGGTGGGGGTCTTACTGATGTTGGTGGTGGGGCTGTATGTTCAGAAGGTGGGGTCTTACTGATGTTGGTGGTGGGGCTGTATCTTCAGAAGGTGGGGGTCTTACTGATGTTGGTGGTGGGGCTGTATGTTCAGAAGGTGGGGTCTTACTGATGTTGGTGGTGGGGCTGTATGTTCAGAAGGTGGGGGGTCTTACTGATGGTGGTGGTGGGGCTGTATGTTCAGAAGATGAGAGTCTTACTGATATTGGTGGTGGGGCTGTATGTTCAGATGGTGGGGGTCTTACTGATGTTGGTGGTGGGGCTGTATGTTCAGAAGGTGGGGTCTTACTGATGTTGGTGGTGGGGCTGTATCTTCAGAAGGTGAGAGTCTTACTGATGTTGGTGTTGGTGGGGATGTATGTTTAGATGGTGGGGGGTCTTACTGATATTGGTGGTGAGGCTGTATGTTCAGATGGTGGGGGATGTTTGAAATTTTTATCACCCAAATATTAAATCCTAGTGCAATAATATAAATTTATTGTACTAAGAAATCTAATTTACTAACACTACTAAACAGTAGTGTAGCAATATTAAATCTTATTAATCTGAGGCGTATTAACGCCAAATTCTTCCTAGAATTCATGGCTGCAATTGCGTCAGCCGCCCAGCTCGTGAGAATAAAGTATATATATCCATAAATCGAATTAAACCCAGTCTAACCTTGTAGAATTTATTATTATTGAACTTCAGACTGATTCGACAGCTTCATCTTATTACGTACACCGCGTCCGGCAAGGCTGAGTTCCCTGCAATACATTGTTCTGGCCATTACTCTTATATTTATGTAGTGTGCCTTGTTGTTACGCATCATGTAAACCAAATAAACCCGTGAGTGTAATTATTATGCCTAATCCACTCTAATTTCATTAGTAAACGTGTAAATATACACTCTTAGGTAGAAATTATATGATATTAATATTTCAGCGTGGAGCTAGCAACAAGGGAAGTGTACTTCATCCTGTAGAAT